ATTTTCCTGGCTTGGGATCAGAGACCAGTCTCCCACACTGGGATCATGAAATCGTAGCCACTGAACCACCAGGGAAGTCCCCAAAAGGTCCCTGTAAATAAGAATGTAGGGCAGGAAGAACCACAGTTCTGTTGTCAGTGCTCTGACTGCTGTCTTGCGCCACGGTGTTAGAAGAACAATCCTAGACACATATTTGGGGTCTGGATTGAATAGAAGACGTGTCAATGGCAGTAACACACTGATGGAATTCTTATGCAGAACACAGAGATTCTGGTTTTGCCTTCATCAAGCATGGTTAACACCACTCAAGACCCCTTCTACTTCATCCTCATGGGCATCCCTGGGTTCGAGGCCTACCACATCTGGATCTCCATCCCCTTCTGCTGTCTCTACACCATCTCCATCATGGGAAACACTGCCATTCTCACTGTCATCCGTACTGCGCCTGCCCTTCTGCCACTCCCACCTTCTCTCTCACTCCTACTGCCTCCACCAGGATATGATTCGCCTGGTCTGTGCTGACATCCGAGTCAACAGCTGGTATGCTTTTGCTGTGGTCTTGCTCATTACTGTGATGGACCCTCTGCTCATCATGCTCTCCTACACACTCATCCTGAAAGGTATCTTGGGCACAGCCTCATGGACTGAGCGACTGAGGGCCCTCAATAACTGTCTGTCCCACATGCTTGCTGTTCTGGTCCTGTATGTGCCCATGGTTGGGGTATCTATGACCCATCGATTTGCTAAGCATGCCCCCCCTATAGTACATGTTATCATGGCCAATATTTACCTGTTGGCACCTCCAGTGATGAACCCCATCATTTACAGTGTAAAGACTAAACAGATCCGCCAGGGAATCTTCCATCTACTCTTCCAGAGAAAAATGCATTAAGGACTGGATTTGAGGTATCATTTTTTTTACAAAGATGGAGTCAAGAGCAGGGCCAAGTACCATCAAAACTGTAAGCAGAATTGATAGGGGAAAGAACAGCATTGTATAAGAAATTTCTGATGTAAATAAAGAGAAATCAAAATTTCTTTTAAAGAAATTAAAAGACATGCATTTTTAAAGCACCTTTTGCCTTTCACTAACCATAGGACTTTGAGGAAAAAATATTTAAAATCATAATTCAATATATAACTTTTTTTTTGCTTTCTTTACAGTGATGCTGTTTTTAAGCACATAGTATATTTTTCTTTATAAACTCTAAATGCTGATTCAGTTCAGTTCAGTCACTCAGTCGTGTCCAACTCTTTGCAACCTCAAGAACCGATTCAATGGACATGAGTTTAAGTAAACTCCGGGAGTTGGTGATGGACAGGGAGGCCTGGTATGCTGCAGTCCATGCGGTTGCAGAGAGTCGAACATGACTGAGTGACTGAACTGAACTGAACTGAACTGAACCACAGCACACCAGTCCTCCCTGTCCATCACCAACTCCTGGAGTTCACCCAAACTCATGTCCATTGAGTCAGTGATGACATCCAACCATCTTATCCTCTGTTGTCTCCTTCTGCTCCTGACCTCAATATTTCCCAGCATCAGGATCTTTTCAAATGAGTCAGCTCTTTGCATCAGGTGGCCAAAATATCAGAGTTTCAGCTTCAACATCAGCCCTTCCAATGAACACCCAGGACTGATCTCTTTTAGGATGGACTGGTTCAATCTCCTTGCAGTCCAAGGGACTCTCAAGAATCTTCTCCAACACCACAGTTCAAAAGCATCAACTTTTTTGTGCTCAGCTTTCTTTATACTCCAACTCTCACATCCATACATGACCAATGGAAAAACCATAGCCTTGACTAGATGGACCTTTGTTGGCAGAGTAATGTCTCTGCTTTTTAATATGCTGTCTAGGTTGATCATAACTGTCCTTCCAAGGAGTAAGTGTCTTTTCATGTCTTTTCATGGCTGCAATCACCATATGCAGTGATTTTGAAGCCCAGGAAAATAAAATCAGCCACTGTTTCCCCATCTATTGGCCATGAAGTGATGGGACCGGATGCCATGATCTTAGTTTTCTGAATGTTGAGCTGTAAGCCAACTTTTCACTCTCCTTTTTCACTTTCATCAAGAGGCTCTTTAGTTTCTCTTCACTTTCTGCCATAAGGGTGGTGTCATCTGCATATCTGAGGTTATTGATATTTCTCCTTTTGAACAAATTTTTAATGCAGAGTTCACTTAAATTCAATGATAGAAATGGATACAGACACGTGGAATTCCTGCTGAAAGAAGATGGCAGACACATGGAGAAGTTATGACAACCATCTCTGGAGACAAGCATAAAAAGAGCTTGAAAAGTGAAAGTGAAGTCGCTCAGTCATTTCCGACTCTTTGTGGCCATATGGACTGTAGCCCTCCAACCTCCTCCTTCCATGGGTCTTTCCAGGCAATAATACTGGAGTGAGTTGCCATTTTCTTCTCCAAGGGATCTTCCTGATTCAGGGATCGAACTCAGGTCTCTTGCATTGCAGGCAGACTCTTCACTGTCTGAGACACCAGGGAATCCCTAAAAAGAACTAAAGAGTGTGAATGTATAGAAACACTGAGAATTTTTTCAAATTAGACTTGTTTTCTAAGCTGGCTTAAACTGTGTTCCTATTTTGTTGGGCTCCTTTGACTTACCATCATGACTTGTTAATAAGTGAGCAGAGAACAGTGTTTAACTTTGTGGAGGCACAGCTTCTTCATTTGTGAATTGTATAAAATATCTCCATGACAAAATTGAATGAATATTAAATAGAAATACTGTGTAAACTGCCTTAGGTTTGTAGGAATACATTTGATGAAGAAATAGGAAGTTAAGATCAAGAAGCACTCTCAATAAGTGTAAAGAATACCAATGTGGGGTAAGAAATGAGGGCAGTGATGAGAGAGGATCTGTGTGAATGTTAGAGTGCAGATTTTTTTTTAATAAATTGTTATTTTTCTTCCCTTCACTAATCTTATTTTGTGATATTTTTAACTTTTACCTATGTGTATGCATATTGATACATTTAAGATATAGACTCCTTTTCTGTCATATTTTCATAAATGTTTTTGGAAGTTTATTTTAAATTCCATCATTTTTCTGTCATAGAGAATTATTTAACTTTTGTACTGACATTCAGACATCTTTTTCTTGGGATTTTTGTCTATTGCTGTTTAAAGAGTCTCCCCAGTGAGAACTGTAATCAACATTTAAATTTTTTTTCTCTAACTTTTGTTAACAATGTACATCTTTATTGATTTGGAATTTGGGTTTGTATACATTGTGAAGTGAGTCTTCAAATAAGTAAATCATAATCGCACAATTTTCCTTTCTCATTAATTTTTTTAATTAAAAATTTATTTACTTTATTTTTAGCTATGCTGGGTCTTCGTTGCTGTAGGAGCCTTTCTGTAGTTGTGGCTAGCGGGGGCTAATCTCTAGTTGTGGTGTGACGTCTTCCTTCTCTGCAGCGGCTTCTCTTGTTGCAGAGCACAGGTTCTAGGACACGTGGGTTTCAGTAGCTGTGGCAGGTGGGCTGATGAGCACAGGTTCAGTAGTTGTGGCACATGGGCTTAGTTGCTCCAAGGTATGTGAGATCTTCCCAGATCAGGGATCGAACCTGTATCTCCTGTATTGGCAGGTGGATTCTTTACCACTGAGCTACCAGGGAAGCCCTCTAGTTCAGGTTTGATAAAGTTCTCACCATTTACTTATCTTATAAATGTATTAGAAAATTTTATCTTGGTATGTCCGGAGAATCACTGCAAGGTGAATGCTCCTGAAAATTGGTGTGCGATATTCCTTTTTCCTGATGCTCACCTGCTGTTCTAATGTTGCCCCAGCTTCAGATTGCTTAGAGACCAAAACTTTTTAAGCCTAATTTTTGACATCCTAAGCAGTTTTCTTCAAGCATAGACATGTAGTTTCAAATCATATTCAACAAGTTGTAAAAACAGAGTATTGAGGTAGTTTCCTGAGTTGTTGCTCCACAAGGACACCAGAGGCAACAAAGTTCTTACAGGCAGAGCCAACTTTTTCTGCCTGCCCAGTGGGACTCCAGGTCTCACTAAGTCTCTCCATGCAATCCTGAAGGGACTTGCCACACCTCTCCACTGCTAGCCTAGAGATTTTCATAGAGTTTATAATCTCTACTCTGTGAGACAAATGGAGGAAACAGAAGCCATAGGAGGTGAAGAGGGAACCACCCAAATAGCAGAAGCCACAAATAATATTTCTCTTGTAATGTTGAGGGAAAGTAAGGAGGGGTGATAACTACTGTTAGAGGATGATCTAAACTAACACAGGAATCCACTTAGAACAGTGCTGAAATATAGAGACAGCCAGTAAATATGATTATCCTCACCTGACCTCTACTTTCATTCTTTTACTCTATATCCCAACCTTTGCTTCTGGTTCTTTTCTAATATTGCACACATGAAGTCTATGGTATCAGATGATATCAACTAACAAGTATAAGAAGACAGATTAGAAATAAGACCTGTTCAAGATGAAAAATGACCTTACTGCATAATGAAATGAATAAGAAATAGAGGAAGAATCAGTGATGACCTTAGAATAAGTGAAACAGGTGAGAAGTCTAATAACACTCAAAGAAAATTTCAAAAGGAGATGCTAGGTAAATAAGCTGAGGGCTAGGTCTTACCCAGTTAAGAGTTCATTTTAAGTCTTTGAGAGAATATTAGTGATATGGTTTGGATAAAAGAAAGATTCCAGGGCACTAAGAAGAAAATGGAAATTGAAAACTACAGGCATGAAAAAAACTTAAAGTTTGTTCATGAGTTAATGTGTATAGACTTATCAGGAGAATATGAGTTGTGTGAAAACAGTCTCTGCAGAGACAGGCCAGGAAGACTAACCACTGTCTTCCTAAATTTCCTTAGTAATACTCAACAGCTCTGTATCTTTATTCAGATAGAGTTTAGATCAAAGGTAAATATAAAGATTATTTTTAATGTTTCTGGTTCTCTCTGAGTGAAGAGCTTCAACATGAAACTACATTCCTCTATCATGTCTGAGGCAATGAACACTACCCAAGACCCCTTCTACTTCATCCTCACGGGCATCCCTGGATTCGAGGCCTACCACATCTGGATCTCCATCCCCTTCTGCTGTCTCTACACCATCTCCATCATGGGAAACACTGCCATTCTCACTGTCATCCGTACAGAGCCATCCCTCGTCCAGCCCATGTATCTGTTCCTCTCCATGCTGGCCCTCACTGACCTGGGTCTCACCCTCAGCACCCTGCCCACAGTCATGCAGCTCCTCTGGTTTAACATTCAGAAGATCAGCTTTGAGGGTTGTTTTGCTCAGTTCTTCTTCCTCCTTGCATTCTCTTTTATTGAATCTTCAGTTCTACTGGCTATGTCTTTTGACCGCTATGTGGCCATCTGCCGCCCTCTCCATTATGCCACCATCCTCACCAACAGTGTTGTTGGCAGGATGGGATTAGCCATCCTTTGCCGCTGTGTTCTGGCTGTTCTTCCCTCCCTTTTCCTACTCAAGCGCCTGCCCTTCTGCCACTCCCACCTTCTCTCTCACTCCTACTGCCTCCACCAGGATATGATTCGCCTGGTCTGTGCTGACATCCGAGTCAACAACTGGTATGCTTTTGCTGTGGTCTAGCTCATTATTGTGATGGACCCTCTGCTCATCATGCTCTCCTACACACTCATCCTGAAAAGTATCTTGGGCACAGCCTCATGGACTGAGTGACTGCAGGCCCTCAATATGTGTCTGTGCCACATGCTTGCTGTTCTGGTCCTGTATGTGCCCATGGTTGGGGCATCTATGACTCATCGATTTGCCTAGCGTGCCTCTCCTCTGGCGCATGTGATCATGGCCAATATTTACCTGTTGGTGCCACCAGTGATGAACCCTATCATTTACAGTGTAAATACTAAGCAGATCTACCAGAGAGTTTTTCACCTCTTTTCTCAAAGAAGCATGCATTTAGGGTCAAAGACTGATTGTGCTTAATTACACAGAAATTGCAGGCATAGGTCTACAGGGAGAGTATAGTCAAATTTTTTGAATGGAGAGTGTAAAAAAAAAAAAAACCCGTCATATTTTTAAGGGAGTATGCCATGGTCTTGGATTTAATCATATTTTTATTCTGGGAGAAACTAGCAGCAAGCATTCTGTCCAAAAGGGTTGTGGATCCAATTTGATCTGATTGTAGCACATTTATCTGTCAATGAAATAAGTGTCATTGACTGAGTAAAGGTCTACTTAAATTTTTTCTTCCTTTCTGAATATTTTTCTCTCCAGTGGGCTTGGCTAAGTAAATGTGAATGAAAACCTTTGTGTTGCCCACACCACACATTCTCCTAGGCAGTTCCACTTACTCCAGGTAAACTCCACATTTCTGGCTCATATAATGGATAGGTGTGCTCTGAGTTTCTCTTGCAAAAAAATAGTAAACAGTTGAGGGAAGACGGATATTGATCCAGTTATTTGGATATTGATAGAGGCTGTATGGATATTGATCAAGAAATTTCTCTGCTATTCAACTAAGATTACCTAATCTATACTCAGCATGATTTAAGCATACACACAATGAGCAAAGGGCCTAAAGATGGAGGTGGGTATAGTTAGAGCCCCCACCATTGTACTAACAATCCTGCATTGCTAGACAGCCTTAGTATTTAGGATTAAAACTTCAAGTATGTCTGCAGGTAATATTTATGGGAATATAAATTCATTTTTCTCACTATGATAGGCTTTTTTTTTTTTAACCTTAATGCTCGTAATGTGGTTTAAATTCTTAGAGGTGGTTTCCCTAAGGCATTCTGGACTTTGCACTAGAAAACATTATGATAGAAAGGATGTGACTTTTGGACTTCCCTGGTGGTCCCTGGTATAGAATCTGCCTTCTAATACAGGGGACACAGATTCAATCCCTGGTCAGGGAACAAACATACCACCAGCTGCAGGGCAACTAAGCCCTTGAGCCACAACTAGAGAAGCCTGTGTGATGCAGTGATGACCCTGCACAGCCAAAACAAACAAACAAAATCGATGTGGCTTTAATGATCATAAAAAGTTATTTTATGGAAACCAGGTAACCTCTCTCAGAAATATCATTTTGAAGGGCAGCCATGGGATTTCTTTGGTGGTCCTGCCAGACTTCTCTGTTTATGTGATTCTCCAAGCAACAATACTGGAATGGGTTGCCATGCCCTCCTCCAGGGCATCTTCCTGACCCAGGGATCAAACCCACATCTCTTATGTCTCCTGCATTAGCAGGTGGGTTCTTTACTACTAGCATCACCTGGGAAGTCCATGTAAAAGATACAGTCTTGCATTACTAATAGGTTTCATAGGTGCTCAGTTTATGTTCTCCTCCACTCCACAATCTACACTCTAGATTATGGATAAGAACATTTGTGTTTGCGGTCATTTTGGGAACAGGAATTAGGGTGGCCAAGTGGTAATCATCCATTTACATAGATGCTCCCAATTGCCATCTAAACACATCCCTGGACCAAAAGGGGTTTCTGAAGGTAGAGGTGACAGAACAAAATTAGCTTCAGAACAATTAGATCTACCAGTGACTTGGGCTGAATTCCCCACACATTCCTATTTTGAAATTCTAACCCCAGTATCTTAGCATGTGACTGCATTCTGAGGTAGGGTCTTTATAGACATAATTGAGTTAAAATGAGGTCCTTAGGGTGGACTCTGATCCCATGTGACTTGTATCCCTATATGAAGAGACTATTAGGACCCAAGCACAGAAAGAAGACCAGAATGATGACGCAGCGAGAAGACAACCACCTGCAAGCCAAGGAAGGGGCCCCGAAGAAACCAGAAATATGAGAAATTGCTAGAGGTCTCCATAATTTGAAGGAAGTAAATATCTGGCCACCCATTTTGTGGCCGTCCTAGTAAACTAATACAACCAAAGACCTATAGACTATATTTCTGAAACTGTGTAATAAAGGTTAGCTATTGGAGATAAAATAATAATATTTATGTTATAAAGGGACTAGAGGAAACATGAAGGGAGATTTGGGGGCAAAATAAGTTGTTCAATGACCAGCGGTGGTAGTTTAGTTGCTAAGTAGTGTCCTACTCTTGTGACCCCATAAACTGTAGCCTGCCAGGCTTCTCTGTCCATTGGATTTCCCAGACAAGAATACTGGATTGGGTTGCCATTTCCTTCTCCAGAGGTCAAAGACCAATGAATGATTGCAAAATGCAGGCTAAGCAATTAAAAACAAAGCATGTTTGACAGAAAGCATCAGCCAAACCTCTGCATAACATCTTTACAGCAACTGCTGAGAATTAACTCTGTCTTATAAATGATCTCTTGATGAGAGCTCTCTATCAACTGAAACTTTTTATTCTCACAGATCATGAAATCTAGAACAGCCAAAATTTCACTATAAATGAAATGAAGACATTAAATCAAGTAGTCTGCTCTTAATCTTTGCCCTTCAACATTTTCTATTTCTTCTCACTAGACAAAGCCATCAGTTATTTCTGTGTGAGTGTGTATGTGTGCACACACACATGGATATTTGTGTGGACTTTATGACATAAGAAATGGCACGATATGTTTAGGTTTCAAAATAGATTTTATTTTTTGAAAACATTTTATTGGTAAATCTCTGCATTAATTTATCCAGTGCCTAGAATGCAAATAACTATACTAGTCACATTTTATTATTAAAATATTTTGTATTTCATAAAATTAAGAGGGTGGTCTTATTGACTTTCTGTAAATTGACCTAAATGAACACATAAGAGGACACAGGATTGGATATCAATTTTTTTTATGATATCAAATGGATTCTTCAAGTGGAAGACAGCCCAAGTTGCTGCTGTGGAAGAACTTGACTCCATCCTGCCTCCTAAGTTCCTTTCTTTTGTAAATAATGAGCATAGAAGGAAGAGACAGAAAACTTTAAGCAACCAAGATGTCTTCCACTGAGCAAATATATAAACAAAGTGTGGTGCATTCATCCAATGGAATATTATTCAGAAATTTAAAAAGATTGGGCTATCAAGACCCATGGACTGTAACCTGCCAAGTGCCTCAGTCCATGGAATTCTGCAGGCAAGGTACTGGAGTGGGTTGCCATTTCCTTCTCCAGGGGCTCTTCCTGACCCTAAAGATCGAAACCAGGTCTCTCACATTGCAGGCAGATTCTTTACCATCTGAGCCATCAGGGAAGCCCCTAACCAAGATACATAAAGAAATGGATGAATCCTAAATGTTCATTGCTAAAGGAAGGAAGGAAGTATAACAGGTCTTTGAAACAATTATGCTTTCATACAGACAAAACTCAGAAAAAGGTGAAACTTCATAGAGAGTAAACTTACTAGTAGTACCTAAGAGTGTAAGTGAGTGGAGTCTTAAATTAGTGAAGCACAGAGGGATTTCTAGTGCAGAATCATTCTGTAATTCTGTGATGGTACACACATGACATTAGGCATTTGCTAAAACTCATAGAAATTTACAGCACCACAGAGTGATCTTTAAAAAATATAATTTATATATATTTATTATATAGAATTTTAAAAAGCTACTCAGGATGGAAGACAAAATATGACAAAATGTTGTTCTACTACAAATATATGAAGCAACTGTACTGGAGAAGACAGAGGGAAATGGTGCTGACCTTTGGAACTGGGTGGGATCTGTACTAAAGGCAAAATGAAATATAATAAATGCTGCATCCAGGGATTGAACCCTCTTATTTTATGTCTCCTGCAGTTGGATTCTTTACCACTAGTGCCACCTGGGAACCAAGTTTCTCCCTAATTTGCTGGGATGTTATGGAAAAGCAAGGGGAGCAACATGAATGATCCATGGACTGGAGTTGGAGACATCAGTATGAAGTCATGTTTTGCTTAACGTAGATACAGCTGATTAAGTAAAACATATTTATAGATATTTGTATACAAACAGGGCAGTATACAGACATATATTTTCTTGGTCTCTTAACTGGGAGGACTAAGAAGAAATGACAAGCTAGTAGCAACAATTGCATATATGACACAAAATTCAATATTTTTGGAAATAATTTTAATTTATCTGGCAAAATCTGTACAGGAAATATTGAAGCTAAAATTTGTTAGGTTTCCAGTGAGAAAATTAACTGAAAACTTGTATAAATTAAAGTTATTCTAGCACTATTTTCCATGCTGAAATAATATCAGAAAAATAAGAGATTTAAACTTTTTTGTAAAAATGTCAAACTACTCTAACTTGTCTTATAAGCAATACTAAGCAAATTTTAATACTTGTACAACCCTTCTGAATTTATTTATAAAATATTCAAACATTTTACATAATGTTTATGTCAATATGAGCATATTCTGTCATTGTATTATTATGATCATGGATTTTTGTAACTTATTCTATATTTGTATTTCTTTTGCCTCTCATCTTAGAAGCTAGGTTTTTGTCATGGCTTGACTATTTTCAGTAAATATATAAACATATGTATATAAATATTTTAAGTGTGTATGGTACCTATCTTGTGTATTAAATACCAGGTAATATTTGCAAAACTAAAAGCTCCAGTAACAACTTTTAACCTGTAAATTGGCAGAAAAAGGTAGCATCGTCATGTGTATTAAAAACCGGCTAAGTTATTGCAGGGGCTTCCCTG